CAACAGTACACGTAACACTACCGATCACAATCAATCTTCACTCACTGCAAACAGAATCGCAGACACTTGTGAGGCTTAAGGGCCATCTACCAAACCAGACGCTTCGCCTCGCCTCCTGCAGCAAAATCTCCAGAAAGGCAAGAAAGGAAAAAGAAATGATATGTACGACCACATCACCCTCTAGAGTTTCTTCCCTCTCTTTGCTGAGGTAGTAACAAAAACGAAACACAAGCCATCTAAACCAAAAGAGGGCATTCCTAATCCTCTAGTGCCACTCAAATCACCCTCTATACAACGAATATTGCGAAAACAAAGTGACACACCTCAAATGGACACAGAGGAAAATATCACCTAGGTCCTCGATGACAGTCAAATGTCTTTGGAGTCACAAACACAGCCATCTCAACAGGAAATGGAAAGTGACCAAGAGTCAATCTCCTCCGACTGGAGTCAACTTACTCAAGATGACGACGGGCTGGTGAGTGTAAATCTCTCAAAAGGGCCATTGAAAAACGAGGAGATTGCTGATTTTCTCAAATGCGTCAAATCTCGTCTTAAACCGCTCAACGTTGCCAACAAATTCACTAACGGCATCCCTGGTCTAGTCAAAAAGCTCAAACCACTTTGAAACAGTTCCCAGCTGACGAAGAACGTGCAACAGAGAATTGGCAAACTCGTCATGAACCTTGATCCAACTGATCTCATTCATCTTATTCCATGATACTCTCCTCTTCTTGTCTTCTTCTTCACATGACACTCTCCTAAGCAACGCTTAATACAGGGGGGTGTTCGACGCCCATTAAAAATAATTCAGTTTGTGTTTACTAAGACAGTACTCTTAGAAATCCAGACATTGTTCTTTTACAGGAAATTTATGATCTCAAGGAGGAAGATTTGTGTTGGAAAACATGGCCGTATGCCGTGTCTTGTTCCCCTGGGAGCACCCGCGGATCAGGCGTGGCTACTCTTGTGAAGAAAAACACTAATTTTAATAGTTTACAATCATGCACGATTTCTGCTGGCTATGCTCACTACATCGAGCTTAGTATTTACTCGACTCCTTATCATATATACAACATCCTGATTCCCCAAGATGACGGTGTTGCCTTGAAATGTTTTTATGCCATCCAAGAACTCTGTTGCTCACATGCCGGCAGAAGTATTTATTTTAGGTGGAGATTTCAACTGCACACATAACTCACTTTCAGATCGTTTTTCACAACCTATCGAAAGGAGACACAAAATTGTCTCCACTTTGGAAACTGTTATTAACGTCTTTTCCTAAGGCGATGTCTGGAGAAAAAATAATCCTAACCTTTCCAAACTTACATGTTTTGGATATGACACTGATAAAACAAGAAATATCTCTAAAGCAAGGCTTGACAGAATATACCTCCCTGTTCATTATTTGTCCTCTGTTGACTCATGTGATATTCACCCTTGTTCTCTTTCAGACCAAAGTGCCGTTGTCCTTAAGATAACTTCTTCTGACTTCAGGAAACAGGGCAGCGTTTATTGGCATTTTAATAATGCCTTGCTTCAAAATGAGTCCATCAAAACGATATTTCAACGTTTCTGGAAAAATTGGCAAATGGAAAAATGTAACTTCTCTTCCATCAGTACCTGGTGGGGCATGGGAAAGTTTCACATCAAATCTATTTCGCAAATGTATGGAGCTAAAATTGTCCGCGAGAAAAAATGTGCTCCCTACATAATTCAATCAATGAATCACAGAGCTCCCCTGCTTCCACTCAAGATACTCAAATCTGTCCATAACAAAGATATCTCCTTAATAATGCTATGTTCAGGAAGCTAAAGGAGCTCTTGTTAGGTCACGTTTCCGGCTCACGACGGAAATCGACACTTGGTCTTCCTTCTTCTTCAACTTAGAAAAATCCAACTCAACCCCCAAAACTATTTTGAAAATTAGCCTCTCCTCTGGTGACATCTCTGACGAACCCTGTGAAATAAAACAACACATTCGGAATTTCTTTAAAAACCTGTACTGCGAGGCTGAGACTGACCTGAGTGGTTTAGATTATCTGGATAAACATTTACCCACACTTAGTGAAAGCGACGCTGAAGACTGCGATAGTCCAGTAACAATACATGAAATGGATAACGTAGTCAAGCAGCTAAATCTGAACAAGTCCCCTGGACTGGATGGACTTACCACCGAGTTCTATAAGACTTTTTGGAACATTATAAAAGGTGTCTGTGGATGAGTGTAAAGCATGGTTCTCAGATTACCGGTCAAAGGAGGGCGCTAGTAAGAAATACAGTGGAAGCAATGTAAACATAACACAGCCTGCTCTTAACCTTCTCAACTGCCTTTTGGGTCGACTTTTCCAAGATCTGACTCAGAATTTCGACCTCTACTGGTGTCTTCTTCCCCACAAAAGTGGTTGTCCAAAGGAGATGGTCAATCTGGCAGACTACTTTATAATCAGCCTAAAAGCAACCATTCACTTTCAGTACTCTCGTTCCTCATCTGCCCATCATCCGCTCATTGTGTGGAAACATCGTATCAAAAGTAAAATTTTGATTGATTTCCACTACGTTTCGATGAAACACATCGTTGGTTCGTTTATAAACAAGTGGGACCATAACAACGCCCTGTTCACATTAGCAGATAACAAAATTACCTGGCTGATTTGAAGTTGCGTTTCTGTTTTGTGTTTGCTTAATTTAATTGTATTTGTTGCCATACGTCTTCGCTGCCAGAAGAGCTCTGAGTTTAACGATTGCTTGAAATAATTCAATTTTCGTTTCGATTTTCCTTCTGTTATGACTCTAACAAATCACGAGCTATTTATTTACTCATTTATTAACCTTTTGTTAGTTAATCCACTTGAGCGTTATTTTATTTTAAGATGGATTTGTCGTTATTTTTCTTTACAATAAAGGTTCATTTGGAAAATGAAAAAAAATTCGTTGATGTGTTGGGGTGTTTGTTTGTTTGTTTGTTGGGGTGGGTGTTTGTTTGTTTGTTTATTTGTTTGTTTGTTTGTTTGTTTGTTTCTTGGGGGTGTTGGGGTTTTTGTTTGTTTTGTTTTTTGTTTCTTTTTTTTTTTGGCTGATGTTTTGTCACCATCTTCATGACTTTAATCGAAAAGGAAATTCAAGAATACACGTACGTGGGTGCACACGATAAAGCAGTTAGTTTTATATAAGATGTCCCACACACTCATCCGACTCTCTTCCTACTTTCTCAACTCGATGATGAAAACAAATCATCATTTAGTTGATTGTTTATGTCACTATTTTAGTGACCCCATCTAACACTTTGCTTGTTAAGTAAACAGTAGCAAGATAATAAAAAAATAGTTTTTTATATGTCCCTTCCTCATTCAAGTCGGATACTTTGTGCCTGTATCATTCACTAAATTATGCCGTAGCAGCCGGTGTGGAAACACTGTAAGTTATTATGACTCTACCTCCAGCAATTAAGGACGCTATGTGATTACAGGTTTCAAAGTCACCGGAGTTAAGTGTTATACCGTTTATGTTAGGCCGAGTTTTGGATCACGTAAACAGTCTTCGTGTCTAATGTAGAATCATTCTTCTGTGGCTATTGTGCAAGCTCATCCCTTCTTCAACTATAATTAGAAAAGACGCCTGTCCATGACTGGACCATGATTGGACAAAGGTCAAGCACACCTGTATGATAGCACGGCTGTCGACTTTGAGAGACGCACTCACTGCTGCATACATTACCTTCCCTCTTGTTGCACCTCTATCAGAAAATTCTCTGTTTCAGGGAGGTAGCCGGCGGCTGGCTCAACATTTTCAGCATCAACAAAGTTTTGGGTTAAATTATTCCCACACTCAGTAAGTATTGATTGATAAGCGATCTTATTAATCTTGCAAAACAGAACGACGAGAATGAATAATGACGAGTAATGACTGATGTCTGCAATCAAGGCAAACATGATTTTAAAGAGAGGCGAAGAGAAAGCTCATCATACGACCCAATTTCATGGCGCTGCTTAGCACACGATTGTATACAAACAGAGGCTCCGTGTATTTCATGGAGACTAGTGAGCAGTAAGCACGGCAAACGGTACGCGTACCATGGAGGAAATGTGCATCCCGATGAAAAAGTCTGCGCGCAACCGTATACGCACAGCCACGCGAAGCACCATCATGAAATAGTATTGACGGTTAGCAACACTTTGCTGCAGTTAGCACGACTTTTCTGCCAATTACAAGGAGCAAGTGTTGTTCACAATCTAATTTCCAGTTATAGAAAGCTTTTTACTTCTAAAATGCCGCTTGCGCCTGAATACACTCCGGTGGTGTTTTCAATACAAATACAACAGGAGTGTATTTAGGAGTTAACAAATGGTAGTTTAGAAGAGCTTTCTGTAGCTGGAAATAAGATTTTGAACAATTCTTGCAGGACCAATTTCATACTGCTGCTTCACAGTTAGCAGAAAAAAAAGATTATACTTAAATACACTTGGTAAATAATTTGGGTTTTTGGCCTCTTTTTGGATGATTTTGCTAATTTTCGAATATAACGCAGATGCCTTTCAACTTTAACCCCGGGGAAAAATAATTAATCGTAATCACGTTTGTGTTTTTTATTTATATATACTATGCCCACTACTTTTGAACCTTTGATTACACTGTGGCAAGTCAGGAATGGCTAGGACTCGGTTGATATGGATCCCATTAATCACTTAAGTGATAAGAAAATATCGTGTTTGGGCATATTTTATTTGTCTATTCGTTTAATGTTTCTCTCGTCTAAACCATCTATGTCTAACGAGGAAACAGCCATGAGCTGCGTTTTGCTTGGCTCAACAGTCTTATTCAACATCATTTAGACCACAACCTTAGCCATACTCCATATTTCATTTCCCCAGTTTACACGAGGAGAACATGATGTCTTCAAATCTTTCTCTCCTTCTACTGATAACATTTTGCTTCGTGGTACCATCAATCCGTGGCATCTGTGGACAAGAAGAACTAGCTTCTAAGAGGTACAAATTTCTCTACTTTTTGTCCACTGTGGGAGGCAGCCACTACTTAGCCCTGTCCATGTCCGGTAAGGAGTTAGTTAAGCAAGGCCACAAAGTGGTCTCGCTGGTCAGCAGTTCCAACACTCAACAGTTGCAGACGGCCGACACTGACCTCTTCTCTGTCGTGGTTTTCAATTCATCTTACACACAAGAAAAACGAGCTGCCGTCATGGAGAGCCTTGGCAAAACGTTTGTCTCGGGAGCCATGCGAGGTTTCTGGGGTAAGCTGGTGTACGGCATCAAGAGCAAATTTCGCGGTGAGCAAAGTGCCGGGAGTATGTGGCTACGCGAGTGCGACGACTTGTTGGGAGACAGTGCAACCATGAGGCGGCTTCGAAAGGAGCAATTTGACATGATGGTTGCCGAGGGCTACCAATTCTGCTCTCTGCTCTTAGCACAAGCCTTGAACATCCCCTTCGTCTACAAAAGCATGCTTCATGTAGTTCCTTCGGATCATGGGATGTGGTAAGTACAGTAGGCTTGCTTTGATTTCACTAGAAAATTGGGTCACTCGTAGAATGGAACAATTGACGAAATAAGTTAAAGAGCTAACGGTTTTTACTCTTTTTAATCGATTTTAAAGAGTAACCACGGGTTCACCTCAAGAAGCAGGAACCAATTGCATTTAACCAACTGCTTTTGAAAAATTCAATTTTTGTGCACCGTAAATTTGTTTGTGATTTGGCTTGGCTCGTAGAAAATAAAATAAATCCCAAGCAATGGCAATTAACTAAATATTATTTACAGAAAACACAGGGACCTGTAAAGGTTAATTATAAAGCTAAGCTCGGAAGAAAAAAGAATAAGGCACCAGACTTTTTATGACAAGCCAAATATAATGCCTTATTATCAGGGAAGCCATTTTTTTTTCGTGTTCCCAGAATCCATCTTATTCACGGTTAGCTGTCGAATGGGCTCGTGCAAGACTATTTTGGATTCCACGCCTCACTTTTTCTTTTTTTAAATGTGGCTCAAAACCTGGTTATATGACTAATCACAAATTTTACATTATTTATTAGAATAAAGTATTCATTGAGATAAACTTTTATTTATTGCTTTCAACTAATATCCAAAGTTCCCAAGGTTGCTTTCAATTATTATTATTATTATTTATTCGGCCTTCAACAAGACAATGACAGCAAAAACAAGTGATAAAAGAAGTAAGACGAGTTAAAAGGAAAAAAAC